GAAAGACAAGGTGCACTACTCCAAGATGCAAACCCCCTGGGGCCTCTACTCTGAGGGCATGAGGTCTGAGGCTCCAGGGAGACGCCAAGGCAGCGAGGAACTATAAAAAGGAGATCTGAAGACATAAGTTGTATCTGCTGCTCTGGCATGGTGGCCCCCTCACGATTTTATTTGATAAATAGCTAACCCTTCAATCATCCAATGCAAAAGAAGCTCCCAGGAGAATCATTAAGCGCAGTACAGTACCAGTAAAACGTCTGGACACACCTACTGAAAATCATTTCCTTTCAACAAGGACTCCAAAAAGTAAGAACACCTCAAGGTTATAAAACAAGTATTATGTTGTGAAGAAGAAAAGAGTGGGAGTGCTGTGACTGAAGACCTGGCCCCACGATCTCCTAACCTGAACCATATAGGGCTGGTTTGGGGTGATTTGGATTGCAGAGTAAGAGCAAAGTACCTAAATTGTGCCCAGAACTTGTGGAAACTCCTTCAGGAGTCTTGGAGAGGCATTCCAGGTGGCTACATCTGGAAGCTGCCCGAAAGAATGCCAAGAGTCTGCAACCCTGTCATCAAAGTAAAAGGGGCTTTTTGAAGAGTCTAAAATTTGAGAATATTTTGAGATGTTGAACAGTTCTCTAGGTCGTTACTTCAGCCTTTTATTTTACTATAAGGCGAATAGCCGCTAAAACAGAGACAAATGCATTAAAAGCAGGTGTGTCCAGACTTTTGACTCCTCCTGTATATATATGATGCAGTGTGTAGGGTGCAGCCTGTAATCAGAAGGGTGTCAGTTCAAATCCTGGGGCCAGCAGAGTGATCATATTACTGTGTGTTCCTGAGCGAGGCCCTTCACTGCAGTCTCTCCAGGAACGGGCTGACCCTGTTCTCTAAATTGTACATTACTTTGGATAAAAATGATTACTAAATAAATAAGTAAATGCGTTTGCAATTAGAATGCAGAGACCCAGCAGACTTGGTTCAGTGTTAGCTGTGAGCATCATCATAGCCCTTGATAAATGTCACTGGCTGTCACTACCAGGAGGAATGAACCACCATGGAGTAGAAACGGACTTGAGACCTTTTCTTGAGTCTTTGCTAAGATGTCTAAAGTGTACAAATGAATCATTCGACTGAAAGCTGATAATGTTATGCTACATAGGTCATTTGAGATAAAGGCAGTAAGACAAAAAACAAAAATCCAAAACAAGCGTAAGGTTCTCCGTCTGGGAAGCATGGGCAACGGTAAATGTCATCTTAGCGAAGCAGCACATGGCTCTAACAGAGGGGTGTCCAGGGAGCCTCACGTTTCACTGGCAGCCGACGGGCACGTGGAGGATGATTCTGGGCCACATGCCACCTGGTGCTGCCACCTCCGCGGGGCCTGGGCATTACTCACCCTCTGTCCCATCCCTCTGCAAGCAGGTGCTAATGCGGTCACATGCCTGGTATGACACCCGGCTCCTTTGGCCGGCAGGAGTCCGGGCCTTTTAAAGCGCCGTGTGCCACGTTGTGAGCAATGTGGGTGGACCCTCTGCTGCCTGAGGTCAGATGCGGAGCTAGACTTTTATTTTAGGGGGGGGCCAAAGGGTGAGCAAGTGTGTCTCAGAGGGGTCCGTATAAATATGATAAATGAAGGGAAAAAATATTTTTCTCGTACACACTCAATAAACAATGAGTTTGTAAATGTTTGTTGAATAAACACAACAAACATTTACAAAATCATAAGCACCAATCATAAAGACCAAGCCTAATCTAATTAATTAAATTAATGAATCTAGGCAGCTAATTAAACCCTCACAGTATAGTGAAGTTGATTCAAAGCTTTAATATGACATGCATAGCGTGCTTACATACACTAGAAAACTAATGACTGGTTCTCCATATATACAATTACCACACAGACTTCAAGCAAGGGCTAGCTTTGCTAAAATAATAAAACAACACTATAATTCAGCATGTGCACTAAAACATACATACGTACAAAGACGCTGTCTAAAAGACGATATATATCAACATGAGCAGGGCTAGTGGCTAATTTAAACGAGACATGGAGCAGACAGTGCACAGTGCTTTCATGCTGCTATTTCTTATGTACTGCAAGTGTGTGGCCACCTCTCATTAGGAAGGTAATACAGTGTAATATGTTATAAATACCTGCTTAACTCCTGCTGTTATCAATACCTCGGGTGTGTTTTGGATCATGTAGGAACGCGTGCCACTGCCAGAGCTTTTAGCCAGTGACATGTCAGTAAGCAGTGCGCACAGGGTACTGCTGCGTCGGGATGCCTTCAGGGCCACTGCCAGAGCTTTTAGCCAGTGACATGTCAGTAAGCAGCGCGCACAGGGTACTGCTGCGTCGGGATACATTCAGGGGCTCTCGGAAATTACAGTTTTCCGCTCAAATCTTTGCCCGATCTCCTCATTGGTATATTTTAATGTTTACCATTACCAGAGGGGTGGCACTGGGGGTGGCAAGGGCTCTGTTGGGGGTGGCAATTGCCACTGCTGCCACCCCATTGGCTCTGCCCCTGCCTGAGGTATGCAGTTAGCTTGAAGTCACACTGCTGTCAAAGCTATGGGGTAATACCTAGCTGCTACTACACTAATAGCTATGTCATGCTACTATAGCTAAGCCCATTATTTAGCGAGTCGGTATGTCACTCGTTCTGCTTGCATGTCAAAAAAGGCAGTGACAGGTCGCCGACTGATAGAGATGCATTTATGTTACATCTCACACTGATACAGCAATCCTGTTGTAATCTTGCATCTTTATTAAATGTCAGCTTGGGCTCATTAAAAATATATTCTTTCATCAAGTCGATCTCCTTTAACATTTAAGAAAGGTAGGGCTTCCTCTCCTCTGCGATGTTGTGCCTCAGTAATCACTGATCAGCACAGTGCCCGCAGCATTCACACCTCTGTTAGCACGAACGCCTGCTGGTGCACGCAGGGAGCTGCTGTTCAGGGCACCTCCGCAACATGATGAGCCTGATCGGATTTGTGTCGTGGATAGTGAGAAGACAAGCCCCACTTTTCTTATGGTGGCATACACCCCTGGGGTTACCATATTAGGTGAGATGAGAAAGAGGACATGTCTGGGGATCAGAATATTAATGACTTTCACGTTCTCTGACCAATCAGGTGCTTCTCTCCTGAATATTAATACATTTTCTCTAATTGCCCTGTAAAAAGAAAATTTGCATCCGGGGAAACCCGGATGTACGGCAACCTGACAGTTAACTCTCATTTTAAAATCTTCACACAATTGACATGATATGTATATACAAGTTTTTTTCAGCAAAAGCTTCAAAACACTAAGTTAAAATTTGTTGGACTTCAAGCAAATGACGTAATTCACTGTTCACACAAAAACAAAAGTGTCAAAATGCCAATGGTTTCCGGAAGGTGACGTCACTCCTGAGCAGCGTGACATGTAGGGATGTGTATATCATTTAATTTTTAAAGTAAACATATACACAAACCTTGCAAATGCTGTGTGATGACATTGAGTGGCTGCTGTACATTGAAAATTCGTGCCTTTTACTTCAATTTACAACTCTGGATTATATGGACCGAAGCACTAAACCCGGACAAAACCACCCGGACGCCCAGACAGGGGCCTAAAAAGAGGAGGTTCCTGGGAAAACCCATATACAGTGGTACCTCAGAACTCGAATTTAATCCGATCGTCCGCTCCTTCCGTGTGCCACGCCCCCTCGTTAACCCCGTGTGGAATCCCCGTGTGATCAGGTGTTTCTGGTTGTTGTCATTAGTCCTCTGTATTTAGTCCACGTTTCAGTTTGTTTCCCCAGTCTGGTCATTGTATTGTCCGTCTGCGTTTTGCCTGCCTTACCTGTAATTAAACCCCGTATTCCCCGATACCCTGACGTCTGCGCCTTTGTCTCCGTTCCGTCCCCACTCCGCACGACAATATTATTATAATTAAATGTATTAATGGTTTATTATTAATATTAAAATAATGAATAAGAAATCTTTATTTTTAAATGTATTTTATTATATAATAATAATTACTGTTACTGTCTATCATTGTCTAAATGTATTTTTACTGTCTAAATATATGTATTCAGCTAGTGTAAACATGCACGATGCTATTACAGTGAATGCGAGGCTGAGACTGAAGCTTTACCCTTGTTTCCGCTGAGAGACGAGCCGCGTAACTCATTTCCCCGCGCATACAAGTTGTCATAGGTCGGCGTTCACGGTTTGACTTCTGAGATTCAGCTCGAGCTCTAGGTAATTTTTTTTTCGAACTGGTTGGTTCGACTTTTAAGAAATTGGAGTTCTAATGAGTTCAAGAACTGAGGTACCCCAGCCTGAATCCCACCCACCCTCCAATTATGCCCTAGTACAAACATATTCTGGTGATTTTCCACTGGCATACAGGAACCGAGCCATACCTGACTCATTCTGCAAAGAGACACTAGTTACAGCGCAGTCCCAGCGCGGTTCCAGCTCGCTTCAGTTTTCCACTACAGAAGGGTTGATTCGGTAAAGGCGTTGCCGGGTTTGGAGACAGTGACGTAAGCAGGGATATGTCGGCATGGTTATGGCTTGGGAAGGGCTTGGGTAAAGCCTGCATACTTGACAATAGAAAACCACCAGTTCACAGTATGTCTCGTGTCTAGCTTGGTTCTCTTTGGCAGTGGAAAAGCGCCATTCTTTTCTGGTTTTCCCCAGTGTGAATCTCTTCTCCCCCATTTAGTATTAGTATTACTACACTCTGCTAGGCCGATGGTGAGCCAATGCAACATAACTTCACTCTGATGTGCACTAACCAGTGTATGTTCTGAATGACAATAAAAGTAGCTATTATATTCTATTCTATTCTTGTCTGGCAAACTACATGTCTGACTATAGTCTTCCAGTGTCCCTTGCAGCACAACAGAGGCTGCTAACCCAAACCTTCCAAACACAACACAGTGCCAAGCAATTGTACTGGGGGGGAGAGTTAACAGCAGAAGAGTGGGGGTACATACCAAAATTGGTGTGCTTCTTCTTAACCACACACCGTCTCTCCTCATTCTCCACCAATGGGGCGAGGCATGGGCCACAGTGGGAGGAGCCAGGTTGGCAGAAATGGCGGCCCTCTCTGGCACAGTCCAGGCTGCGAGGACATTTGTTCACTGCAGACAATGAAGAGAAGCAAAGCATTATGAGACCCTGTTGCCACGTCGCCAGGCTTGACACACAGTAAATCCGCCCAGCACAGATCCCCGGAGCTTCGGGCCTCTCCAGAGCAGTAATAACACACGCTGTCCTTCCGTTCTGTGGCTACACTCCAGTTATTACCCAATGATTATGTCCCCTCTCCCAGACGAAGCCACAACATCAATAAGAGTTAATAGCGGCAGTTTTAGACAAACAACTGACCTGTTTCAAAAATAGAGAATCTGATTTACCGCCACACTGGATAGCAGCATTCGGCACAGCTTTGCTGGAGGTGTAATGAGCAGAGATTACAGGGTGGTATCTCAGAAGGTGAGCAGGCTCTCTCTTATAAGTCATTTATTATTTAATTTATTCCGCTTAGTGATCCTAATCCTATTCAGCTTCAAGTCTGCCCTCCATGTTTACTTTCCAGTTCCCACCAATCATCAGCTTTCAATTTGCTGTCAGGAATGACCACGTTTCTCTAATCCTGTAGGTTATCCTGAATTGTACATTGCTTTGGATAAAAATTATTACTAAATAAATAAGTAAATGCATCTGCGATAAGAATTGCCGGTTCAAGGTCGCCGGTTAAAACCCAGCCTCGGCACGTCTGCGGGTCCTTGAGCAAGGCCCTTAACGACCAGCTCCCTGGGCGCCGCTACAGGTGGCTGCCCTTCGCGAACAACTTACTCTACAAAATAGAGCAAGTTGAGGAAGGCATAAAGACAATTTCCCCACGGGGATCAATAAAGTATCGATTATTATTCCCTCATTCCATCCACATGTCACATGGCTCTGCTCACCCCTGAGGGAATTGCCAGGAAAATACCGACGGCACCCACCTCGCACAACGGCAGTTTATCTAAGTCCATACATGGTTAATAAGGACAGTAAGGCAGCGACAGTGGGTCAGGTAGAGCCTGTCAGCCTTGCCTGGGATCAGCACTGTCTGCGCTCTTCTCTCATAAACAGCATTTCAATGTGTTTAAGCATTTCATTGAAACAGTTATTAAATAACCAAGTACGCTTTTTATTTCCACCTGAATTCACTGGGACTTCATCAGGCTGGCTCCGCCAGTTAGCTGCTGTACAGTATGGCTGTCACTAGGTGGTCACTGGTTCAAATCCCAGGGTCAGCAGAGTGATGTCACTGCTAGGCCCCTGAGTGAGTGAGGCCCTTCATGTATGTGTATGTCACTTCAGATATAACTTGCCTTGCATATTTTTGCATATTGTTGTCTAATTGTTGTCTAATGACAGCTGCAGTAATCCGCACTGACAGGATGGAGAATACGGACAGATACAGGAGGTCATCCCTTATAAAAGAAAGGTTACATAAATGGTAACCAGCAGCAGATTTAAAAGGCTTGACATTAACTGTTTTTTTACAAGTGGATAAACACACGCACGCTGGCAGCGAGTCATTCAGACTAAATCTGGTTCATGAATTCAGCCTTATTGGTGTAATGACTTCCTTTGTGTACCATCACCTCCCTCCTACACTGCCTTGTCACGGGGGGGGGGGACGTGCAGCTGAGGGGAAGTCCTGAAGATTAGGATCTGGGTTTTAGACTAAAAGCTCAACTGAGGACAATCTGAAAACACAGCTACTTACAGTTATTCATTGGCTGAAAACTGCTGAAACTCTTCACAAGCTGAAAGCATGTTTCTGTTTTCAATGTTCACTCAAAACATCATGAAAAACTCCTGCATAGCCTCATCGAAAACACTGATCTCCTCCTGTCTCTTCTCATTTGCATTTGCGCTGATCAGCTGCAGATGTCACAGGTCCCATTGCCATGACGACTGCCCTGGCAAAGGAACTGGTGTCTGTTCTTTTTTGTTTGAGAACCTCACGTGGTCAACAACCTCTTGTCGCCAACACAGACATCGCCTACCCGCATTTCTGCGCTGTGGGGATAAGATTTTACTGACATCACTGTTACTCAGCAAGCGGGATTCCTCTGCTGACTCAGCTTATGCACCTTAATAAAAACCCAGAGGCCAAATGGGGACAGACCAAACAGTCACAACCCACTGTCACACACAAGCACGGAGAGTCAGGATGCAGTGTCACCGCAAATATCTCGAGAGACAGACCATCATAATACCAAGCCAAATATTAACACAGAACGCTGAACCTTTCATCGTCCTGCGTTTGTCACATAATACACAAAATGCAGCCAATGTGCTGTAACAGCAAGGATTAGGGGGACGGTGATGTGCTCTAAACACTGCGGGCTAGAGGGGAGCTGGATCTGCTGTCACTGTGGTCCAGCTAATAAAGGGATGGTGTTGACAGATGGCAAATCAGCCTTTTTTTCCTCACTTGGCTCATAATGACACAAAGACCGAGGAGAATTCTGACTCTTGTTCCTGGCTTTGACTAATCACCGTCTGATTGCTTTTAATTACATACCCTTGACAGCAGGGCTGCTCCAGACCCGGAACCCACAGAAAAGGACCAGGAGGTGCTTTGGGCTCTGTGGCCGCAATGGACTCAGAGGAGGAGCCTGTTTTCACCCCCTTTTCGGCAGGGAGCGAGACTGGCTCCTGCAAGCTCTCCTAAGGAGGCGTGCGATGGAGAACGGGCCTGATCATCCAGCCCTGCTTATGCTCACACTAAAGCTGCTGAAGAAAGCGATCCCACAGCCATGCCCGTAAGCATGACTCTGCCCCATCTATCTTCCAGCTGCTCTTCCGGAGCCGGTGGCCGTCCATCCCCAGGGACACGCTCTCACATACATTCTCACACTTTAGAGATGGTGATTAGGCTGACTGCCTGTCTTTGGCATGGCAGTATCTGCTGAAACTTACATGACACAGAGAAGAAATGCAACCTCCTCACAGTCAGATGGAGGATGCAGATATCAGTAAACATTCTGTATTGCAGCCAGGACACTATGGAGAGTGTCAATTTAGATTCAAAGTCAATAGACTCAAGACATGTCCTTGTCCTATATGCATAATATTCATTTACATTAACATTATTTGGCAGATGCTTTTGTCCAAAGCAATGAGCAAGTGAAGCAAATAGCACTTTATAAACATACATATTGTCAAGGGGTCATAATTACAGGTACTGTAGCTTTCACTGAATGCCCAGGTAGAAGTGTATGCATTACTGGGACCGGGGCTACACAACATCCATCCTTCCATCCATTTTCTGTAGCTGCTTTTCCTAGTCAGGGACGCAGGGGGGTCAGTAGCCTATGGGCACAAGACAGGGAACAACCCAGGATGGGGTGCCAACCAATCACAGGGCACAAGCACACACCATGCACACACCATGCACACACCATGCACTCACACACCATGCACACACCATGCACTCACACACCATGCACACACCATGCACTCACACACCATGCACGCACCATGCGCGATTAACCTCTGCATGTTTTTGGACTGTGCAAGAAAACCTGAGGGGGAGTACCTGAAGGAAACCCCATGATGACACGGGGAGAACATGCAAATTCCACACATGGAGCCATGGCAGAGACCCGAAACGCAGATCCCAGAGATGTGAGGCGACAGTGACAACCACTGCACCTGCATGCTGGTGGTGAACTACTGCACCATCTTCTAATAAAAGCAAGTACTGTGAAATGAACATTTTTTTTTGCCATTTGCACTAGTACAGGACCATTGTAATGCTTCTTTTCACAAATTCCATCTTGCTCTCCCCTGTACTAGTGCACACACACACACAGATGAGAGTGAGGCTATTGGGGGGGCAGGATCTTGCCCAGGAGCTAATGGCAGCATCAGTCTGCTGGCCCGGGGATCTGCACTGGGGACCTTCAGCTCCTAAAATGCTGAGCCTCACACCCAGAGACATGTGAATTTTGTCTCGAAATTATAGTTTCATGGACTGGCCTCCCATTTAACTGTGTGCCGTGTGCACTGTGTGTCCTGGGACAGTCTGCAGGTTTAACCATGCCTTAGGACAAGCTAATCTGGAAAATGGCCATAAAATTATCTATTTTTGACATGCCCTTAATTATGGAGGTTCATTGATTTAGGAAAATATGTACAGCAATTTATCTATCACGTTCATCACAATATGGACCAGCCCTCCTCCATTCTCAGCTTCAGTTAAACACAGAAATTATTTCCAATGAAAACGAAAATTGATGTACCAAGTTAGTTAAACTGGTAAATCCAAAAGTAGACAAATTTAAGCACCAAAAGTCACGTTTCTGGCAGTGAGACGAGGAATTTCCCACCTAACAGGGTGTGTAATAAATAATATTCATTCCCTGTCAAATCAATACCATTAATTAGCTTCACTCACCAATGAAGCATCCCTTCTTTAAGAGTTCTGATCAGATCTGCAGCGGCCCCTTGAGTATTGATTAATAGCACTTTTAAATTCAAACAGGGCAGCTCTATGCACAGGTTTCCATGCTACACCCGCCTAGTTGAGTGCAAGTGTAACATGTGCTCTTTACCATTATCCATTTAAAATGATTTACCGAGTCATGGCCGGAATGAATACTGAAAGGGGAATAACAGCTTTGCCCCCCCCCCCCCCCCTCCAAGCCTCCAGGGGGTAGATGTGCCACTCAGCAGGAGCTCTCACTCACAACTCACCCCCGTACCGGGGGGCATGCAGACCGCTTCTGGGGACCACAGATCACCAGCAGCAAGCTTGGGCTCTGATCTAGCCAGGTTCTTGCACAGCACCAGAATTCAACGTCTCAGGAAAAAGGCCACAGAGGAATGAGTATCACCTGGTAACTGGGGAGGACTGTACTTCAGTATGCAGAGGTGGGCAGCGAAGAGATTAGCCAACATTAGCCAAGCGCTACAGCAACAGGCATCGAACTGAACAAGTCGGTCAGAACGTGGATGAAGAAGAGCGGGCGGAGGAACGGCCGAGAAACCCGAGTCCCATGGGACGTCATTCTGCCACCTTTGTTTGGATGCTGAGGAGAGTGGTTGCCAGGCAACCATTGAACAAGGAGAG